CTTTAAAACTTTGGCATGACAGGAAGAGCCTGTGACTAAAGCCTGGTGAAGATCAAGGCTACTGAAGATAAAAGAGTTATTAGAAGCCTGGATTTTGTAGGTTGAGAGACAGGAGTGCTTCGGAAGCTTTCTAAATGGTGAGAAATTAATAATAAATAATAAATGAATAAAATGAAACCCACCCCATCTTCATGGATGGACCTAATATTTTTTTCTTCTTGCAGAAGACTAGCTAAATTATTTATCCTGGGGACATAAAGAATGAGAGGCTTCCAAAATTATTTCAGAATTTGAAGAACTAAAGAAAGAAAAAATTATTTTCTTTTTTCTGAAGCAGTCTTGCTCTGTCACCCAGGCTGGATGCAGTGCAGTGGTGCGGTCTCGGCTCATTTCAACCTCCGCCTCCCGGGTTCAAGTGGTTTTCCTGCCTTAGCCTCCCAAGTAGCTGGGATTACAGATGTGTGCCACCACACCCGGCTAATTTTTGTGTTTTTATTAGAGATGAGGTTTCACCATGTTGATCAGGCTGGTCTCAAACTCCCGACCTCAGGTGATCTGCCCACCTCGGTCTCCCAAAGTGTTGGGGTTATAGGCATGAGCCACCACGTCCAGCCAACTGTTTTCCAAAAATAAAGCCAGTGTTTCCTCCAGACATGACTTCCATATTCTGGCCAGAGATTCTTTTCCTTTCTGCTACTCCTCATGTGGGCTGGCCCCTCATGATGGCTGATACCCAGATGTCCTAGATCTGCAGGGTCCTCGCCTTCAACTGCCTTTCTGTCAATAAATAGTCCCCCCAAGTAACTCCTGTCAGGAAACAAAAATTAAAAACCACACCTCTGTATTTTGAACCAATAGTAAAGAGCTCCCTGGTTAAGATGGGGCTATGTTCAAATCTCAAAGCTCTCAGGCTAGGTTATAATTCCATTCATAATAACAATAGGACATCTTTCTTGCTGCAGGCGTACCAATGCCTTGGATAGACCTGTGAAAGTGCTGCTTGGCTCCTTATGGCAGGGAGCTGTAGCCCGGGCTCGTGGCTCTTCAGTCATTTCCTGCTGTTTCTTTTTTTCTGGTAAAATGCACAGCTCTTCTGGCCTCATCAGTCTGGCCCAGTGGAGGTACAGGAAGTGGGACTTGTAACTTAAAAGTAGCTTTTCAGAATAAACAGAACACCACCCAGTGATCACGTTTCAATTCACTTTCAATCTTTTTCACTAAGCACATTAAATATTCTTGATGCTAAGTCATTCAGCAGAGTCCCATCTTCCAAGATTGCTCCTCTGTGATCTCAAAGGCCCCATCTTCCTCAAGGTTAAAACACTTAGCCTGAAATTTCACTTTGAAGATATGAATGTAGTCTATGTGGAGGCCAGTATGGGTGGAGGATCAGAAAGGGGGTCTGGAAATGTTAAGTGTTCTTGTTTCTATTCTTGGCTCTTTGTATTCACCACGAGGGTGGTCTGGAGGGAGCCTTAGAGGCCGTGTGGTGTAATGGTCAGAGCCCAGACTCTAGAACTAGACAGCGTGAACTGCACCCCAGCTCTCCCACATAGCATTTGTGTGCCAAGCTGGCCAGCTGCTTGACTTCCCTGCATTTCATCTTTATCACCTATTAAATGAGGATAATAGTACCGGAGTCCTAGGGTCGTTATGTGGACCACACGAGTTCATCTCCTCTCTCACTTTAAGTTAATCTCCCCTCTCACTTTAATTTTCTACATCTAGAGAATGGAATTATATGGGGTCACCAGAAAAATTAGTGTTATTCAATGATTTAATATGAAAACCATTATGTAAGAACAAAATATTTTAACTCTGGGCAAAAGCCCATCATCTCAGATTAATGGATTAAGTGTGCAGAATCTATCATCTTCAAAGACAAAAATGGCTTTTGTGATGGTCCTTTGTGCCAAAACACCACAACATGCCAAGACAAAGAAACCTGGAGCCACATTAAAGATAACTACTAGCTTTAAGTGTCTAATGGATTTTGTTACTTCATTTTCTCAAGGGGAATATTGGAGATGTTACCCAAAATATTTCATCCATGAAAGCTACATTTCCAGCCAAAGTCTCAGAAAATGACTTCCTAACTATGCATGAATAACTTCTGTGTGTGCCTGTATGTTGCAAGAAGCATTAATTCTTTATAAAAGCACTCCTTTTTACATGCATGTTGGGCTACTAGATCTGAAACCTGGATGTATTTACAGTGCTTCCTAGCTAAACCTTAATTTTGTGTCTACGTCTTAATATTGATATTCAGCCTTTCAGTTCTATAGCACAAGGGCTAGTTCTCCCAAAATTTACTCTTTTTTTTTTTTTTTTTGAGACAGGGTCTTTTCTGTCACCCAGGCTGAGTGCAGTGGTGCAATCTTGGCTCACTGCAACCTCCACCTCCCAGGTTCAAGTGATTCTCCTGCCTCAGCCTCCCAAGTAGCTGGGACTACAGGCGTGCACCACCATGCCCAGCTAATTTTTGTATTTTTAGTAGAAATGGGGTTTCACCATATTGGCCAGGATGGTCCCGATCTCTTGACCTCGTGATCCTCCTGCCTCAGCCTCCCAAAGTGCTGGGATTACAGGCGTGAGCCACCACGCCCGGCCCAAGATTCCCTTTGTAGTTGCCCCACTGCAGTTTTAGAAGGGTTGACTTGTTTAATAAATATACAGCTGAATAGCGTTAGGCTACAAAGGACTAATATGACTTCAGCAAAAAATGTCTTTTTAAATGGAAAAAATGTGCATTCATAATGATCTAGAAGTTGGCTGGAAAGTCTGGCTCCTCTATCTATTTTCAAACTCCTCAGTATCTCTGAAAAACCATCACAAAGTATTTTTCCTTTGATACATGAACTGTAGTGTATCTTTGAATTGGCTCACATTATTACCACGCTTTCAACATTCCTCAAATTACCATCTCCATAAATGACACTTCAGACTAGGAGATCTCCGTGTTAAACCTGTCTGACTGCCTTAGCACCTGAAATGGTACAGTGGGAGAGGTGAGGCTCACAAACTTGTTAGCTCTTTCAGAAGAGCAGCAAATGGCAGTTTCTTGACTCACAGTTCATCTGCTGTATTTACTAGTAGAAAAAAACCCCCACATTTTCGACATAAGATGAATACTATTGCCTGTCTTTCTTTTACATTTCAAATATGCTTCAAAGTTCTTAATAAACTTAAACCTTAAAACTGTACTTGGCATATCAGTGTTCTGGGTTCACACATTTCTATGTTTAAAGGTTATGCAATTCTCCCTTTTAATTTAGGAACAGTATTTAAAGCCTAAACTGGGGTGAAGGTATACTTTGAAATGAAAATTGGGAAGATTTCTGTTGATGGTATTGAAGGGCAGAAGTTAAAAAGAACTATGCATAAAGGCGAGTAAAACTCGTTGCCTGTGAGCAGGTGACTGAAGCTAGAGGTCACAGAGCACCCCTAGTCTAGTGGTCCTCCTGTGACCCCTTTCGACCAAAAGAACAACTCCTAACTAAATAACTCCTCTCCACTTTAAATCTTGTGGAGAGATCTATTCTAAATTTTGCCAAGGGATGTACATTTCAAACTAAGAAGAAATGTAGCCTCCAAAAAAGGAAGAGACTGGTCATCTCTGCTTTTAAATGAGAACAGCCCTGCTCCTAGAGAAAGAGTCCTGCTGAGGAGAACCGGTTCTGGCTGAAGGAAGCCACATGTGGGCAACTAGGGACAGCGCTTGCTAACTGGAAGCATTTGATTGTGTTCCTTTCCTATTAATCTATTACATACGCACTTATTAAATCCCAATGGCATACAGATCCTTTTTCCACTATTACCACCTAAACTTAGAATACAAGAGATTGCTAGAAAAAAAATAAGGGATAAATTGCTTAGACCTAACAAGTCGGCCAGGGGTGGTGCCTCATGCCTGTAATCCCAGCACTTTGGGTGGCCAAGGTGAGTGGATCACGAGGTCAGGAGTTTGAGACCAGCCTGGCCAACATGGTGAAACCTGTCTCTACTAAAAATACAAAAATTAGCTGGGTGTGGTTGTGAGTGCCTGTAGTCCCAGCTACTCGGGAGGCTGAGGTAGCAGTAATTGCTTGAACCCAGGAGATGGAGGTTGCGGTGAGCCGAGATCACGTCCCTGCACTCCAGCTTGGGTGACAGAGCGAGACTCCATCTCAAACAAACAAACAAAAACAAATAAAACCCTAATAAGTTGATCTTTTTGGAGGAAAACAAAAACATTTCATAGATCCCAAAACACCTGATTATACAGCATTTGTCTGAGGCACTGGATTTGTCCTAGGGCCATGGGATCACAGTGGACTCACTAAGTACGTGACCTTGGACAAGTTATTAACACACACTGTATCTAGGTTTCTTCACCTATAAAATGGGGATCATTGTAACACCTACTTCGTATGGGTGCTGTGAGAATAAAGTGAGGTATTAAATGGAAAGCTCTTGAAACAGTGCACGGCACTTAGAAAGGGCTGTAGCACTGTGCCTCCTGACTTGAAGAAGCCAGGTTGTAAATCATCCTTTGTTAGCCAAGGGGCCACTCCAAGCTCCACAAAGGTATAAGCCCCCTACTTCGTCTCTCCTGTCATACCTTAGGCCTTGATGTGTTTGCCTGTGTCCCCAAATCTCACCTTGAATTGTAATCCCCATAATCCCCACATGTCGAAGGAGGGACCCAGTGGGAGGTGATCAGGTCATGGGGTGATTTCCCCATGCTGTTTTAGTGATGGTGAGGGAACTCTCATGAGATCTGATGGTTTTATAAGGCAGTTTCCCCTGCTCTTGCTTCCTCTTCCATCTCCTGCCGCCTTGTGAAGAAGGTGCCTGCTTCTCCTTCTGCCACGGTTATAAATTTCCTGAGGCCTCCCCAGTTATGCAGAACTGTGAATCAATTAAACTTCCTTTGTTTATAAATGACTCCAGTCTTGGGTAGAATCTTTATAGCAGGGTGAGCATGGACTAATACATGCCTCTGACTCATTTTCTTAGGATGCTCTAGAGAAGAGAATAAAGTTCTCTGGGGAGCTCTTCAAAGGGGAAGGTTCCTGGATCCCATCTCTGAGATTGTGATCAGGTAGGTCATGACTATGGCACTGGAACAAGCTCCTCAGGTGTTCTGATGTTGATGGTGCAGGGGCTTCCCTATAAGAACTATGGTGTGGGCATTAAAAATGGAGTGTTTTAGTAAAGAATCATGCTGGAATTCCCGGGTTCACTCAAGTGTAACAGCACAAGGAACTATTACTTTATCATTATTATTGGATTTCTAATATTCCAACAAGGATCAACTAGCCATCTTAAGGCTGTATCTAATGAACCAAGATTTTTTTTCTGTAATAATTTCGACTACTATTTTAAATTCAGGAAGTACATACGCAGGTTTGTTACACAGGTATATTGTGTGATGCTGAGGTTTGGGGTATGAATGATCCCATCACTCAGGTTGTGAGCGCAGTACCCGACAGGCAGGCTTTTAATCTTTGCCCACCCTCTCTCCACCCTTTGGGAGTCTCCAGTGCTTATTGTTTACTTTCTTTGTGGCTATGTGTACTCAATGCTTAGCTCTCACTTATAAATGAGAACATGTGTTATTTGATTTTTTTGTTCCTGTGTTAATTTACTCAGGATAATGGCCCCCAGCCACATCCATGTTGCTGCAAAGGATATAACTTAATTCTTTTTTATGACTGTGTAGTGTTCCATGGTACATATGTACCTCAGTTTCTTTATCCAATCCACTATTGATGGACATCTGGGTTGATTTAATGTCCTTGCTATTGTGAATAGTGTTGTGATAAATATACAAACGCATGTGTCTTTTTGGTAGAGTAATTCATTTTCCTTCGGCTATATACCCAGGAATGGGATTGCTGGGTTGAATTGTAATTCTGTTTTAATAAACCAAGTTCTTGTTTCTAATTTACTATGAATAGTAGATATAACATTTTTATAAGAAAATATTACCCAGAAATTGGTGACTCCACCTTCAAAAATACTTTTTTTTCTATCTTTGCTTAAATATGGATATAGTACCTCTAAAAATGCTTTGTGTCAGGGAAGGTGGTAAAACACCTCACTTTTGCCTGGTTCTTACAATTTTTACTAATACACACTTGAGAACAAAGGCATTTAATTTTCATTTTAATATATTACAAGGTACTTCAGAATATGCAAATCACCCTCCTTCTAACTGGAATAGCCATGGTAATGATATGCTAGCATGAGATCTGTGTTTTCTGTTTTGAAAATAAACATGTTGGCCCAGTGCAAAATTGCCGTGCTGGTAGGGCCTTTTATTTTTATAAGTCTTTGACTTTTTTCTTAATCTTTCCTTTGGGAAAATAAGGTGACAAATGGTATTCCACATGGGGTCATCAAAAACGAATTATTCAACCTAACATAGATTTTCTTTCTAGGGTAGGATAATAAGCTTTTATAAACTAAAGTGAATTTAGTTTCTGCTGCTTTTGGAATATTTTATTCAGGCCTGCCTCAAAAAGAACACATTGTTGTATTATATGTTGACATAGTGATGAGGTTTTATGAACAGAATATTTGGTTGTTTCTAACCTGTTATTTCTAGGGCAGCCCTGCAAGGTAGCGGGAGCTACATGGTCTCTAAAGAGGAACAGGGACTGAGGTAGAGATTCACCAGGCAAACAGCTTGACAACTGCTGGACCAAAACCACTGAGGCAGAACACAAAGGTTAGGATGCTGGATTGAATTGTGATGGATAGACAGGATCCTATCTAGGCCTGCTGATGGCTTTGCTTTTGAAGAGCTGCAGAATGTCATAGCATCAGCATCTGGAACCAAAGGGCTGAAGAAGACTAAAATGCTAACGGTGGCCAGCTCAAAGCCCCCTCTGTGCCTGAAAACAACTCTTGGCTGCATGTGTGCTGAGAGATGAGCTGGGCTCGTGCCTCCACCAGAGCCTGTGGAGTCATTCTGTGCTGAGACCACCCCTCCCAATGGCCAAAAATTAAACATAGCAGGTCTAAAACAATAAGGATCTATACTACAGAGTTAAGAAGTGTAATATGCAGGAGAGGTGTTTCTGTGAGCATCACCAGACATTCAAAATATAGTACTTAAGCATGAATCAAAGAAATTATAAAGAAAGAAAGGGAAAGAGAGAGAGAACAAATACCATTAGGATCTTAGATTTAAAAATGCCCCAAACAAGAATCGAGTGTCACCAGGAAATGGCAAAAACAAGTATACTACACAGAAAAGTTTTTGCAAGGCCATTTCATGAAAATTTAAGTACAAAAGAATGGCATGTTCACATGATTTAAATGTATTTAAATGCCAATTGGCCATACATATTGTGTTACAGAGGTCACATTTTGTTATAAGTAAATAAGACATCTATAAATAAAAAAGAAAACATATTTGTTTGAGTCACTAGAAGTTACTGATTTAGAGAAATGACCAATGAATCTAATACTTCTGAGGGATTAAAAGAAATTTCCTGCTTTTTCTTGTCTTTTCTACTCTTTGTTATATCTTTTGATGACCGATATGGTTTGGTTGTGTCCCCACCCAAATCTCATCTTGAATTGTATCTCCCACAATTCCCATGTGTCATGGGAGGGACCTAGTGGGAGGTAATTGAATCATGGGGGTGGGTCCTTCCCTTACTGTTCTCATGATAGTGAATAGGTCTCACCAGATCTGATGATTTTACAAAGGGTTTCCCCTTTGGCTTCATTCTCTCTTGCCTGTCGCCATGTAAAATGTGCCTTTTGCCTTTCTTCATGATTGTGAGGCCTTTCCAGCCACTTGGAACTGTGTGTCCATTAAACCTCTTTTTCTTGATAAATTACCCACTTTCGAGTATGTCTTTATGAGCAGCATGAAAATGGACTAATACAATGACTGTAGAGAGAAATGTAATATTTTAACAACCACTAACATACTGTTACCAATTTTAAAATAAACAAGAGAAACAGAGGAAAAGGAAACAAACATGATGTTTCCAGGACAAACCAAATCCACTTATCTATACTTTTTGTGTTTGGTTTTGGAATGTACTACACACACTCCAAAGTGCTTTAAAACTAAATCTCCCAATTCTAAATTCTCTCCAGGCGTCCAGAACTAGATGGTGAATGAGCAATAAGAAACAGATAGTAGTTATTGCTTTGAATCAAAGTTTCATACAAAAAAGTCTGGTACTCATACACAAGAGTAAACAGACTACATATTTTCATCATAGAAGCACAAACAAATTGCCCTCTTTTTTTTTTTTTTTTTTTTAACAACAGAGAGGAAAATCCTCCATTCCTTGCAAGAGTCCCAAGCTCCTGCAGGTTTGTGGTAGTTCTAGTTAACTTTTCCACCACTCAGAAGGTGGAAGCAAGGGGTGTTCTTACAGCCTACCCTTGGATTCAAGGATGGAATAATTTCTCACAAGAAACCAAGAACTGTGAGGATTTCTGAGCCTCAAAATGCGTCCCAGAACCATTGCTCCTGACATCCTCTATTATTTTCAATGTCTACCCAGTTAGACCCCTCCCAGCTAACGGCCAGCAGTAGTGTGGCACTGTCTGTACTGCATGTGGTTTGCACATGAGTCCCAACCCAAGGGAGCTAAAGGCGTCTACTGAACGCAGAAGGAGAAACACTCCTTCCTAGGCCACCCATAGTGGGAGCTGAATATGAGACATGACACAATATACATGAAGAAGCAAGCCACTGTCACAGGGCTTCTGGGCAATGCTAATTACGCAGCCCACAGCATAAGACAAGAACAGGAGAGAGGAAAGGAGAGATGGTCAGGAAAGTTTAACAGAAAACAAAAATTTTCATGTTTTCCATGCACTCATAGTTCTAATATCCAGCCAATTTTTGGCTTAACTTAGGACTTTATAAAAATCATCCTACAAGATAGATGGTTTGTTAGGCAACTTAATATGTAGACTCTTATTTGGACAGGAAGATGCACATAAAATAAAAAATACTTTCAACATGAAAGGAGCAAGGAGTCTGTTCTTGTGTTGACTTTTAGGAGCTCATACGAGAAGAATTAAGACAGGAAAGATGAGGAATGAGGAAGGCCCTAAAGGTAAAAATGCATTTAATTAATTACTCACATGAGTAATCATGGTAATAACAAAGAAGATAGAAAAAGCAGAAGTGGGCCAGAGTTGGAAAAAGATGATGATGATTATTTATTTATTTATTTATTTATTTATAATATATTTTATTGCACTTTAGGTTCTGGGGTACATGGGCAGAACATGCAGGATTGTCGCAAAGGTACATACATGGCAATGTGGCTTGCTGCCTCCATCCCTGTCACCTATATCTGGCATTTCTCCCCATGTTATCCCTCCCCAACTCACTACCCCCCAATGTCCCTCCTCTAGTCCCCCCCAAAAGACCCCAGTGTGTGATGCTCCTCTCCCTGTGTCCACATGTTCTCATTGTTCAACACCCACCTCTGAGTGAGAACATGCGGTGTTTGATTTTCTGTTTTTGCGTCAGTTTGCTGAGAATGATGATTATTTTTATACTGAAGAAGAAAAGAAGTAATGAGAGTTGTGTGGGACAAGGGTTGGAAGCATGTATCAAAAGGTTACTTTAGAACTGGGAGTTTATGATTAATTGAAGAAGTATTCAAATGGAAATTCCGTGCTAACTTTAGTAGTTATAAAGGCACAGAGGAGAAGAATAACTTATTAGCTATTTGAATTCCTAAAGTGGCTTTCTCACAGGATTCATGCCTTTTATTTTTTTGGTTTATCTTGAATTAAACATACCTGTTTACTGCTAACCAGTACAAACTTAACCACGTTCTATTCCTTGAACAGTAAGTTACACTGGAAAGATAATAGATTTGGGACCTCAGAGACTGGGATTTGAATCCCAGTCTTCTGCTGAGATTTTATTATTTTTGGGGCAAGTTACTTAATCTCTCTCAGTTTCATTTTTTTGCTTATCTGTAATATCGATATAAGAGTAGCAAACAATTAGGACTGTTGTGAAAATTAGAGATAGTTACTGTCAGACACCGGGTACCCAGTAACATTCAATAAGCAGTAGCAATAATTACTCCACAATTGCAAAAATTGTTTTTGTAGTGACAGCAAAATTTTAAGATTTATCTTGAAATGGAACAGAAAGCAAGTAATCCAACAATCCAAAATAGTTTTTGTATTTGAATTGTCTAACCTGGGTCAAGGGCAGTCATGTTATGTCTATGATTGATGCTCGAGTGTGGAAAACTCAAAGGAGCACAAGCTGCATATTACAAAGTTTCCAGTTTTAGAGACTCCTTGGAGAAGGTCACTTAAATTGGTTAGTAGCCATAATATGCAAAAAATTAGGATGGAATCTTCACTGAGAGTGAGAACATGAAACCAAGGCTAATTCCAGGATAATGTCACAGCTAGTCTTCTGCTTTTCTCTTTTAGAGTTGGTGCATGAACTAGCATCATGCATATATCACCCACTCAATCATATAGGTATGTGATAGTGTTTTAATGGCTTGGAGAAAAGTTTTCAATGTAAAGGTTCTTACTCAAGAAGAGCATGGCATTTGAATCTAGGGATACCCCAATTTCTAAGAGCGACTTCTCTAATCTGCTAGTAAGAATTTTCTGTGAGGATCTAACTGTTATACTCATCGTTTTCACAACTGTTATTCCTATCCTTTTCACTAAATAACCATGTATTACCTAAAAGACTTAAATTCTATCACTGCTTTATCCTTAACCAAGTATACTTGGTATTCTCAAATTCTCAGATTTACTGGTGCAAGAATGTATGTATGTTTTCAAATAATCCTGGTATTTTACAAATAGGCTGACAATCCCAAAAATTCTTCCCACTGCCTTGCTGAATAGGAATACTCCCCGATTTTCCTTGGAATTATTTTTGCCATCCTTGGATGCCTGGCACTTTGATAGGGAACATGCAATCACATTACAATGTATCTCAAGTTACTCAAATGAAAACAAAATTATCTTCTTGTGAGTGTTGTGTAGAAAACTATACTCTGCATGCAGAACGTTGCCTCTTTCTCCCCTTTTTTGATATAAGAAAGGACTAGGACTCCTTAATACAACCCATGATGATGACAATAGTATTTAGTGAGGATTTTGCAAGTCATAAACCTACAATTTATCTCATTTCTTTTCTTTTGTGTGCACTTATGCTATTTTCAAAACAATCCCCAATTTGTAAAGTGAAAATCGAGACTCAGAAAAGCCTGATGACAGGTCCATGGCCAAATTGTTAGTCAACAAAAGGGCTAGCACTGAGAGTCAGGTCTTCTTATTTCAAGTGCAACAGAATTTGCTCTTCTTCATGTTGTCTTTGTTTACTTATTCACAGGTTCATTGGTTTATTCAGCAAACATTTACTGAACGCGTGCCATGTATCAGGCACTGTCACAGGCCCTCAAAATACAAATTGCAAATGGATCTCATCACAAAGAAGCTCACATTGCGGTGAATGAATGGCAACAGCTCATTGTAGTAAGTATGGTGGGGACAAAGGGGAGATGCAGCAATGGCAGGGACAGGAGGCGGTGATCATGAAAGTTGCTCTAAAGAAGATGATAGTCTTTTTCCAGCCAGTGCTGAGCAATGGGCATCTCTCGGGACAACCGGCGCAAGCGCCACAAGACGGGGTCAAGAGAAAGCCCTACCACAAGAAGCGGAAGTATGAGTTGGGGTGCCTGGCTGCCAACACCAAGATTGGCCCCCGCCACATCCACACAGTCCGTGTGCAGGGTGGTAACAAGAAATACCGTGCCCTGAGGCTGGACGTGGGGAATTTCTCCTCGGGCTCAGAGTATTGTACTCGGGAAAACAAGGATCATTGATGTTGTCTATAATGTGTCTAATAACGAGCTGGTCCGCACCAAGACCCTGGTGAAGAATTGCATTGTGCTCATCAACCGCACGCCATCCGCGACAGTGGTACATGTGCTCATCATCCCACTATGCACTGCCCCTGGGCCGCAAGAATGGAGCCAAGCTGACTTCTGAGGAAGAAGAGATTTTAAACAAAAAACGATCTAAAAAAATTCAGAAGAAACAACAGCGAAAGGAAAAAGAATGCCAAAATCAGCAGTCTTCTGGAGGAGCAGTTCCAGCAGGGCAAGCTTCTTGCATGCATCACTTCAAGGCCGGGACAGTGTGGCTGAGCAGATGGCTATGTGCTAGATGGCAAGGAGCTGGAGTTCTATCTTAGAAAAATCAAGGCCCGGAAAGGCAAATAAATCCTGTTTTCTTTCTTCACCCATGTAATAAAGGTGTTTATTGTTCTGTTCAAAAAAAAAAAAAAAAAAAAAGATGATAACCAGTGGTGGGACAGCAGGGAAAAGATCCCAGGCAGTTGCTTCTAGCAGCAAGCAGCCTCCCCTGCTCTTGCCAGTGTGCCCAACCAAGGCTATCATTATCTGAGTGCCAAGGCATGGAAAAGATGGGAATGCCCCAGCGTGAGGTCAAGGTGAACAGGAGTTACTGAGATGAACAGATGGACAGGAGCAGCCCAAGGAGAGGAATGAGCTGTATGAAAGTGCAATGTTTTGACTCCTCTGGGAAAGTGTTTGAGTTTTTGTTTGAGTTGAAATGAATGGAGAATATGAAAGGACAGCTAGAAAATGAACCAAGAGAGATCAGCAGGGATCAGGCATTGAGGGGTTTGTGGTTCTGCGTGCCAAGATAAGGAACGTGAACTCCATCCTGAAAGTCACTCACTAATGGGGAGTCACTCATTCATATTTAAATAATAGGATCAGATTTGAATGTTGGAAAGATTCCACTTGCCCTAGTGGAAGACCAGATTGAAGGAGCCAGGCAGGATCATGGCAGGAACCCAAGGGAGACATGAGGAGTCCTGGGGATTAAGGGAGTAGCCATGGGGATGGAAAGGCAAAATTCGAGAGATATTTAGAGGAGAGACTTGTGGAATGATCAGATGGTGTTGGGGGAGTGGGAGGCGGGAGTGTGAAATGTTTCTCAGATTTCTGCCTTGGGTGACTGGGTGGTTGGCAATGGCATTGTCTGAATTAGAGGGGCAAGGAGGAAGGCCAAGCTTCACTTTGAAGGACGCAGGACATAAAGGGTTTGATTTAGACATGTTGAGAGTATAAGAGGCGTCTTCAGGACCTTCCTGTGTAGCTGTTGATGTACTCAGAGATGTTTGATTCAGCTCTTTGCAAAAAGAAAACCGCGATGAGAAATTACTTAGCAACATATTTGGAAAGACAGGGTGTTTTGATATTTTCTTCTCAATGCATTCGTTTTAATGTGGAAAGTTAGTCGCATACAGAAAAAAAAAAAGAGGTATGTAAATCAATCAATCAATCAAAAGAGTTTTATATAAACCTAACTACAGTATAATATCTTAGCACACGGATCTAAACATTTTTCCATATGCTCTGCTAATATTATTCAACATGTTATTTTAAAAAAGTGTAAAACGCCAAAGTCTTGAGAGATGAATTATTTTAAAATATTTATTAGTCACACATCCTTAATACAGACTTTATTTACTCTCAGAAAGAAATGTACACCCAAAGGGCGAAGCAGAAAGTAATAGTTTCCTTAAGTGAAGAAACAGAAAGAACAGAGGATCTGTCTGGCGAGCGGCCAGTCAGAGAATATTGAAAAGCTAGAAGTCTCAAGGCAAATCTCTACTAATCCATCTTTTACCAAAGTTCTCACTTAAAGTCCCACCTTTTGACATGAAATATTTAATAGGAGTTTTATTTTAGCTACAAAGTGCCCTTAAAAATTTAATATTGGACTCCATACGAGACTAAAAGAAGGAGGTATTCGGTGACTGAAAAGAAACATGTATGTTAAAAAAGAAAAGGAGAAGAAAGAAGGGACTTGTGGAAAGTGCAGAGAAGTTAATGAGAATTTCTATTGAAAACCAAAAGGTAATGACAACACAAAGTTCCTTTCCTATAGCAGACCGATGCTTCATGAAGAATGAATACATTGATAAAGTTCACTTGCTAGTGGCATATGGAACCACAGTTTTAATCTGTTGAAATGGCACAAAGACAAAAATTATTTTAAAAACCCACAAAATACAAATAAACAACAACAAAAAAGTTTTCTTGTAGAAAGTGACTCCATTTAATTGGCTTCCACACACACCTTCCCAGTTCAAATTCAGCTCCCCAACGTGGGAATAACTCCCTCAGGAAGATGGTCTTTGGGGTGCATGCATGATGTTCATTTGTCTTGCATCTAAAAATTAGAACGTAACAAGCTTCTAATCATCACTTGCTAATTTGAAACAAAAAAAAAATTCTTCTTTCCATTGAAAGCAGATTGTAGTAAGAATTCAGCATTCTCCAAGGTCATATGCTATTGGCAAAGCTAAAAAAAAAACTTGTAGTCCAACTTGCTTATGTTCAGCTGTGTTTACTTAGACTTAACTTGACAAAGTCTGCCTCTGATTATACAGAGGAGTCATCTGCCCACAGATAAATAGATATTACACAAACTTTTGGAGGGAATGACATTTGGCCTCCATAATTCTGGAATAATTTACTATGTACCCTCAACTTAAAACAACAGAATGATTCACAATATGTTTTTGAGATTGAAACATAAATATTTCATTTTACAAAGGGAGCAGTCTCCATGACCTTTATGGATTTTAGATGATTTACTAACACAGTATGGTACTACTTTGGAAGGTGTGGAGTGGCTCTAAAACAGGCAGTTTCGGGCAACATTTATTTCAGTCTTTTCAATAACCATCAAGATTTCAAGGAATTTCTGTAAACAAACTGTCACTTAAAGAAAATAACTTTCCATCAATTTTTGCAACAAGTCTCCAGAACAGAACATGCATATAAAAATAAGAGTTAACTAAATTATTTCCAGAGACTACATCTTGGAGTAATGTTTACACTATCGGTAAAAAGGAAAAGCTCAATGTTTTACCACTGTATCTTACACTAAATGCAAAATTTTGCTTTTGGAATAACGTAAACCATTTCCGCTGAATAGAGCCTGTTCCTCATTACCCAAGAATTGATTCTGGCCCTTCATGCTTTCTTTCCTTGCTGTTATATTTATATAGCAGCATATAGACATACTTTCCTCTTTAAACTAAGACTGTTTCAAAGGTGGAAGTACTTATTATATTCCCTAGTTATCAATCAATAAACTGATCAATCAACAGACTTTCATTGCATTTTGTTAACAGCTAGTAATACAGTAGTGAACAAGAGGAAGGTGGTTTCTGTCCTCTGAAATTTACTTAACAAGAACAATCATCCATTAAACACATACTCTCATTTTCTAGGTTGTTCATTTTAATTTATACAATTATAAAAAGTTTTCCCCTGCCAAAACTAACACATTGTCTTCCCTGATTCTTGTCCTATAATGTCTTAATTTTAAAAAATATTTCTGGGTACATAGTAGGTGTGTACACCTGTTGTATTATTGAATAAACTTAGGGATGAAGCCCTTCAGTTGGAGTAGTGGTGTGTGAAGGTAGCCACAAATAATTTTCTAGGTTCGATGCCTCCCGCAGTTCAGGCTATGTCTACAAAAGGGTTAAGTTTTTAATGAATTCCTTTAATTGTTTCTACTTTGATTTTTATTCACATTTACCAAATTTGCTTTGATAAGCACTCTGTAAAGTTAGTTAACATAAATGATGGCACTGCTACTGTTGTTAACAATTGCTTCTTAGCATTCTAATAAGCAAGGATTTTCAAAAGACTTTCCCTTTAAAGAACTGAAGCAGTGTGCATAACGGCACATGGCACATTCTCACATTATTTTATCTCATTATGTTTGAGCTTTGAGATTCACAAAAGATGATTTGATGTATATATTTATAAGATTATAAAATACATAACAGATTTATTATATATATGTAAAATACGTAAGTATATAAAGGATTAAATATATATAAAAGATGTATAAATATATTATATAAAAGATATATTTATATCTTTAATATCTTTATATATTTATTTAGATATATAGAGATAAAATAATGTAAAAATTTTATATTATGTATACATATATGTATACATAACATAAAATTGTTTTAATATTAAAAATAATATATTTGTATATTATATATTTACATACTCTTTTATATTTATATTATACATATTATATATATAACATATTTATTATATATAATATATGACATATTATATATCATATATAAATATGTATAATATGTAATATATAAATATATATAAAAAAACTTTACAGAGTTATTTTGTGTGTGTGTGAAGGAATATGTTTTCAAGTGTGCATGACTTTAAGGAGAAGACACTAATCCACAGCTCATCTGGAGACTAGAATGTCCTCCTCATGCCAATCTCCAGGAGAGAATACATTAAGACCTCATTAGCTTTTAATGCAAAACTGATCTATACTCTTTCCTCAAAGGGCAAATTCCTCCTATTCGAAGTTAGCTGTAGAAGTGAATCCAGGAAAATGAGGGAGTACGAAACTCTCTTCTGAAGCCCAGGCAGGGACAAAGCCAGAGGCATCTCCCAAAGCCACTGATAGGCCAGGAAGCCAAGGGAAAAGGCTGCTGCTGCTGGAAAAATAACTTTCACAGCTGGATAGGAGGTCTGAAGAGAGAGAGCTGTCTAAATAGGAAGGTTAGTGGTGTTAGGAAACACTGGGCCGAACCAATGACCGCACATATTACTTTTCAAGCTAGATGCCTGCATGGGAGGTGCAGGGCGGGGGCAGTTGATATGTAACTAAAACCCTTGAAGGAGTGAAGCCACTTGCTGGGTGGTTTCTTACAAAGGAATAGCACATTTGCAAATTTTATCAGATTGGACCAGGACACAAGACTCTGCACAGAAACTAGTTATGGAAGCTCATTTTTCAAAAGGAAAACAAACATCCTACATACCGAAGTTATTATACATTCAGTCAAGGCTATCAGGCAGCAGTGTTGTGTCTAAGGGTGAAAGAAGAACCACTGTCTATTTCTAGACATGCAGTTTATTTTCTACCAAATTTAACACAAAAGAAGGAAAGAGAAGGACATTTAACACAAGATCGCAGATCAGAATTAGTTTGCAGAAGACTTGCAGCTGAATGAAACTTATATGACTTTCTCAAAGTTAACCAAAGTGGAGGGGTGGGCAGGGGTAAGGAAAGTTTTCACAACCAAAAATCTTGAAAAATGTCCTATATTTTCTGGTTTTATTTTTCCCAGAACTGAAACACCACAAAATAATGACATGCCAGCGCACTCACTTCCAGCTCAGTCAGGAAGTGCCGAGGTACATAAACATTTTTTATTTCACTTTTTACAAGAAGGTGACCAACATTTTCTTAGGCTTCCAAAAAGCTTCAGGTTTGGAATACATTTTGGTTAAATGTCAGCAAAAGAATTTGCTCATCGTTCAAAAAACACTTTTTCTTTCCAGCCTTGGAGCATATGTAGAAACTGTGTTGTAAATGGAATTACAAAAAGGCACAGGATCACAAAGGGAAGTCCAGTTTTATAATTCCTAAAAGAGTGCTGTAGAAAAGCGTTCTCTGTGGTGGAAATAGGAACTCTTACACAGCACAGTTTACCAAGTGCTTTCTCCATCGTTATCACATTGGAACCTTGAAACAGCCCTGGGAGGTGGGTATTTGTATTGCCTTCATTTTATAGATATGAATACAACAGAGAAATTAAATGCTTCACCTAATGTTTTTCAGTGAGTAGCAGAGAAAAAAATTAGAACCCAGGTCCTCAAAGTCTAAAACCATAATCTGAATAGGCATTGATTTTAACCCCAAGGCCAGCAACTTACATAACACCACTAAGGTCAATGGAAGTCTAATTCAATGCAATAAGCTAGAGAAAGACATCCATGGAAAGAAAAATTCAAAGAGGAGGTAAAAGTATCACTCTTTGCAAATATGATTGTATTACTAGAACACACAGAAAAATCAACTCTAAGACTACCAAGTTGGTTGGGTGTGGTGACTCCCCCCTGCAATCCCAGCACTTTGGGAGGCTGAGGCTTGAGGATCACTTGAAGTCAGGAGTTCGTGATCAGCCTGACCAACTTGGTGAAACCCCATCTCTACTAAAAATACAAAAATTAGCTGGGCATGGTGGTGTGCACCTGTAATCCCAGCTACTCGGGAGGCTGAGGCAGGAGAATTGCTTGAACCCACGAGGAGGAGGTTGCAGTGAGCAGAGATTGTACCACACTGCACTCTATCCTGGGTAACNAAAAAAAAAAAAAAAAAAGAAAAACTACCAAAATGATAAGCAAATTTATGATGGTAGCAAAATACAAGAAAACATAGAAAAATCAACTGAAAGCCTACCAAAATGACAAGTAAACTTAAGATGGTGACAATACAGTATTAATATACAGAAATATATGGCTTTTTTTATATTTAAAAAAACCAGCTAGAAAATACGATGGAAGAAAGGACCTGCTTATAACAGCAGAGCAACAGATACGATACATGGGGATAGTTTTATAAGAAATGTGCAAGACCAATTCAGGACATCTTAAAACACTGTTAAAAGTGACACAAGAAGACATGAACAGACATACCAACTGTCTGGATAACAGGATTCTACATTCTAAAAATATCGATTTTACTTCTTAAATGTAATACAATCCCGTTAAAAATAACAAAAGAATTTTTTCTTTTTTGAGACAGAGTCTTGCTCTGTTTCCCAGGCTGGAGTGCGGTGGCATGATCTTGGCTTACTGCAACCTCTGCCTCCCAGGTTCAAGCAAGTCTTCTGCCTCAGCCTGCTGAGTAGCTGGGACTACAGGTGCATGCCACCATGGCAGCTAATTTTTGTATTTTTAGTAGAGACAGGATTTCACCATATTGGCCAAGCTGGTCTCAAACTCCTGACCTTGTGATCCACCCACCTCGGCCTCCCCAAATGCTGGTATTACAGGCATGAGTCACCATGCCAGGCCAGGATTTTTTAAATAGACAAGTTGATCCTAAAGTTAATATGCAAAAATAAGCAAGCCTAGCTAGAAAAACTATGAGAAAAGAACAATGAGGAAGAATAAGCACAACCAGACATTAAACATATTCTAAAACCTCCATAATTAAAACAGCACAGGACAGAAACATGAATAAAAGGAAAAATCAATGGAAGAGAATAGAAAGACAAGACCAACTCAATTTAAAATATGATATTTCCAATTAGAGAGGACAAGAAAGACTGGCCAATAAATGGTGTTAGAATAACTGGGTAACTGTATGGAAAAAAAATGTTGCACATTTTTGTCACACCATATTATAATACTATACCTCAAACTAAGATATTCCAAAAGGATGAAAAATTTAAAGTGAAAATTGAGACTATAGAAATCCTTGAAGAAAACTTACAATACTCCCTTTAAAGTTTTAAAATGAGGAAGTTCTTGCTATCACTTAAAACCTGGAAGTTATAAAAAGTAATCTGTGTAATTACATTTTTAAAAGGCTACATGAGGAAAAAATCATCATTAAAATAAATATATATAACTAACTAATTGGAGCAAAATATTTGTTAATGACTATTATAGGCTCATCTCTCTCCATAAAAGAGCTCTTCAAATTATTAAGACATTATCCATGAGAGTCTGTATGAAAATAAATATAAATGTTTGCACACAGGAAAATGGAATTATGAATAGCTCTTAAACATACAGAGATGCTCAGATTCATTCTTCACCATCGTCAACAATTAATGAGTTTAATGACACTGAATATAGAGGCTATAAGAAAACAAAGATTCTCACCTATTGTTAGACACGTGCAGATGAAATTAAACAGGTTTCTGAATTATTCTATCAGAAATGAACAGGCTAGGCTGGGTACAGTGGTTCACACCTGTAATCCCAACAATTTGGGAGGCCAAGGTGGGCAGATCACTTGAGGTCAGGAGTTTGAAATGAACCTGGCCAACATGGTGAAACCCAGTCTCTACTAAAAATACAATATATAGCTTTCTATAGCATTCCTGTGGAAGCAGGGATTCCTAGAATTGTCCTGCAATGCAAAAGTTGAAGATGAGCTAGGGCTTGATTTGTGGCCATGTACTTTGCTTCCTATTCTTGATCCCTGGTTTAAAGAAACTGTTTACTCTCAATTCACTACTGACTGGTCACAAGGACTGGATTCCTCCTCTCACCAGCTCACCTTAAGGATCTGCATTAGCATGAGAAGGACACACTCCGCAGTGTCCTCCAATAGATCAATCAGAGAGTAAGCTAAAGCCTAAGGCCCACAGAAGGGACTCCTCTTCTGGGGGCAGCATAGGCAGGGCCAATTTCCAGTTTGAGAATTTCTACCTTTTCCATACAACTTCAGAATTGGCAATAGGTGTAATACCATTGCTGGTCTCTCCCTAACTCCAGACTTCTGATAGGTTTTTAGTTTTTATTTTGATGGATTGGTTGATGATTGATTGAGATAGAGTCTTGCTCTGAAGCCCAGGCTGGAGTGCAACAGTATGATGTACGATTTTGGCTCACTGCAACCTCCACCTCCTGGGTTCAAGTGATTCTCGTGCCTCAGCCTCCCGAGTAGCTGGGATTACAGACATGAGCCATGACACCCAGCCAATTTTTGTATTTTTAGTAGAGACAGGGTTTCACCATATTGGCCAGGCTGGTCTCAAACTCCTGACCTCAAGTGATCTGCCTGCCTCAGCCTCCCTAACTGCTGGGATTACAGGCATGAGCCACTGCGCTCAGCCAGTTTTTTCGTTTTCTTTTTAAACATGTGCTTAGCAATTATATCTCTAAAACATATTATTGCACTGGCAGGAGTTTCCTTTAGAAACATGGTCAGTCTTACACCAATCACATCATTACTTTTCAAGTAAGATGATAATAACTTTTTTGTACTGTCCAATCACAGGTGTGAACAAAACTAGATGTGCCGGAATATCCTGGAAACAGAGATAGATCTCAGGCAACAGTGCTTTGAAGCCATAGACCATCAACAAGGAGAGAAGCTTCATCACTGGGAAAAGAATGCATCTCTCAGAATAACATAGCTTCAAATTTGAATCAAATTTAAAAATATATTAATATTTTTAAAACACTTATTTCCTAAAAGCACTATCTACTTTTAAAATACTATTTAATGTCATTATCTATTCTTATTTTATATTTGTCACTTTTTCTTTTCTTTCTTTCTTCTTTCTTTTTTTTCGTTCTTTCTTTCCCTCTCTCTCTCTCCCTTCCTTGCTTCCTTCCTCTCTCTCTCTTTCTTTCTTTCTCTGTTTTTTTTTAGACGGCATCTCACTCTGTTGCCCAAGCTGGAATGTCATGGTACAATCCCGGCTCATTGCAACCTCCACCTGCCAGGTTCAAGCAATTCTACCTCAGCCTCCCAAGTAGCTGGGACTACAGGCACATGCCACCATGTTCAGCTAATTTTCTGTATTTTTAGTACAGACAGTGTTTCACCGTGTTAGCTAGGATGGTCTCGATCTCCTGACCTCGTGATCTGCCTGCCTCGACCTCCCAAAGTGCTGGGATTACAGGCATGAGCCACCACTCCCAGCCTCTTTCTTTCTTTTTCTGGGTCTTGCTTTAGTGAGGTCTTTCTTTCTTTTTCTGGGTCTTGCTTTAGTGAGGTCTTTCTTTCTTTTTCTGGGTCTTGCTTTATTGTCCAGGCTGCAGTGCAGTGGCACAGTCATAGCTCACTGCAGCCTCGAACTCCTGGGCTTAAGTGAACCTCCTGCCTCAGCCCTTCCCCAGCAGCTGAAACTGCAGTTGCCCACCACTGTACTCAGCTAATTTTTTAAACTTTTTTTTTTTTTTTATAAAGATAGGATCTCAGTATGTTGCCCAGGTTGGTCTTGAACTCCCAGCCTCAAGCAATCCTCCTGCTTTTGGGTGCTGGGATTTCAGGCATGAATAACCATGTTCAGCTTTCACTTTTTCTTATAATACAGGTATCATTTCCCATAAAGGACAAGAAGCAGGTAGACTGATAAGCATGAACCAAGGTTGATTTCTGTGGATCAACTGACCTGTTTTCTTTTTTCCTAGAAGCTTCCATACCATCCCCTGCTTCTAGATTGGCCAAGTGAAGGAGACGGGCAGGGTCATCAGCATGGGACCTTGTGGTACCCCACACCAGCTGTCTGGCTTGGATACAGCTCTGGAGTGCTCAAAATAGCACTCTGTCTCTAATCGTCAGCTCTGTGCCAAAGAGGAACCTGAATAAAGCCCTAAACTCACTGATCCAAAAGGACTACATACTCCCATTGCTGTCTTTAAATGGGATTCTAAAGCCAGAGAGATGATGTTTCAGGAATCCTTGACACTCCTACAATTATAAACAGGTGTGTAAAAGAAAATAAATCACCATTTAATGTCCCAAACACCTTATAAAGAAGGTGAAGAGACCTAGAAACCCCTAAAGTTCACTTAGCATCTCGGTAGGTGGTCTGAGCATGGAACAGAGTTTGGGAGCCGAAGCTGGAGAGAGCTGGGTTACACTACAGGTAAACAACATGAGATTTTGAGGC